AAGTGTTACCAGAGTCACGTGACTTCAGCTGTCGTAACAATATTTTGTTCAGATATCATTAAGGTTTTGCATATCCAATATATAACAAGAGTGAATAGTTTTGTTATACCTAGTTGTGCAAAACGTTCAGTTCTCTCATTGTTAAAATACGCCATGCTATGTTTTGTTAATGTAGGTTCATATCCTTACTTCCACTCTGATGCATACATCAAATATAAAAAACTATTTGAGTTTACAAACAACTCATCGGAGTAAGTCAATATAGCATATACATGTGATAGGTATATCGGTACTCCGGTCAGAAAACGTTTTATGTGGTATATTTATTTTTTATTTCTGTATGATTCAATGGGGCTCTTTCTTGATGCGTCCCCCTGATTGTAGTGGGACCCTAACCACGGCTTTGCAAGCAAGAATATCTTTACAAAAGGTGATTCTGTGTGATACATCAAATTTCAAAAACCTTTATTCCGATTTCACATTACAGAGGTTGAATAAGCTAATAAGTTACTTGAGAAAGCAGAAAAAACTATTTCATCAAAGAATACATTTTTTGACATGTTGAAATCCATTGGTTCACACCCTGGAATCCTATATGGATTGGCTAAGACTCACAATGAAGTTGTTCCTCTTTGACCAATTGTTTCAAACAATGAGGATTTCCTTCCTCCATCTCTATTGAATCTTTTTATAAAACACAATAACTTCAGAATTGTCAATCTTCTTTGAAACCTTGACACTAATACAGATACGAGGTTTAAAGATGAACACAGTAGATACAATAATAAGTTTAGGTGCTATTATTTTAATGTTAGGAACAAAATGGATTATTTTAGGCCTATAGTTAAATGGAAGACTGTGATATATACGGATTTATTGAAACTTGGTTACATATAGACAGTATTGACATTAGGAATTATTTTGAAATTCCTGGTTATATATCATTTGATAATGATATACATTTTATGGGAAATGATGAGCAGTAGCCTAAGGATTGAAGATATAAAAATGGTATTCAAGATATCGAATGTACATGTATTACAATGATTAGTTTCACGGGTAGGAAGTTTTAAATTGGCTGTTGTCATAGGTTACCTGATCAGACAGAGGGATAAGCGAGAAAATGTATAATGCTATCCAGATCGCTACGAATAAAAAGACTGTAACAATAATTTTAAACACATTAGTCGGGATTGTAGGGAGAGAAAATGTTTTAATTTGATTCCGGGTGATTTTCTATACCAATTGGCCAGAAAGCCAACCAAGAGGGGAGGCTATTTTAGACTGTTAACCATCAGGGCCATTGACAGATTTCTTACTTCGGGATTCTTTCTTCCCTAGAATGTATCACGTAAAGTATGTTTCTGAAACAAAAACATTTTATCTCAGTATTGGACAATTTGTTCCCAACTTTTCTAATCGGTTTACAAACGATGTAAACAACAGGGAAGATCAAACCTAATAGGCTTACAAGCAATGTAAACAACAGGGAAGATCAAACCTAATAGGCTTACAAAGGATGTAAACAACAGGGAAGATCAAACCTAATAGGCTTACAAGCAATGTAAACAACAGGGAAAATTAAACCTAATAGGCTTACAAAGGATGTAAACGAGAAAATCAGGAATAAATGTTGTGAGTTTAAGAAGAGTAAATTGACAGAAATGTAGGACAGCTATGGTTCTGTTTAAACAAGTAATTACAAAATCCAAAAGGTCTTATGATAACGTTAGAAATAATAGCAAGGATGTTTCTGAGTATCTTCAAGATAAGCAACGTTTTAAAATGGGGTCAGACACTTAACTGATGTTGACAGCAAGATAATTTAGGACTTACAGAACGCGAAAATAGTTCCTGACTTCCAAGAGTCCAGAACTGTTCTTTGTGTGAGTTCTATTTAGCATAGCCCTATGCACGAATAAAATGGGAGAAAATACAAGGTGCCACAATGAAATTTTTAGTTCCAATCACGACCTGGCACCTGGGATATGTCCAGGCCTGTTATAGCTGTATTGTGAATATTGAAGTGATATAGAATGACTTGAATCAATCGGTAAATTGGACAAATATTTATAAAATGATCTTTAAGTATAGTAAGTTTACGGAAATGCACTTGGTTACCGTAATTTGGATCAAAAATTTAATATAGATGAAACCAACTGCATAGCATGACTGTAGAAAAGGACCTAGGCTTAATGGTGGAAAAGTCAGTGTGTTTTCTTATAGCAGAGCCACATCGAGCTATCTGCTGTGTCCACCAAGGGGAATCGAACCCATGTTTTTAGTGTTGTAAATCCAAAGACTTACCACTGTCCCACCAGGGGGATATAGAGAAGTGAAATGAACAATTTATATTTAAACATAAACCCAGTGTGTAGACTTGCTTTTGATGCTCGATTGTTACTGTTATGACAGCGAAAGTCGCATGAAGCTGGGAGCATGCGTGCTGGAATTTTTCGAATAATCATGAAGACCAGAGTGCATTCGAGACACCCTCGAGATAGATAATTGAGTCAAGCGAACAGTAGGCACCGTAAGTAAAGTGTGTGAATCACTGTGATTTATAGCGTGTGTTATAAAAGTTGTTTAAAGTGACTGTGGAAATTCTGTGTATTACAAAAAGTTGTATTGAGAAAGAATAAACTGGTTTAATCAAGAAAGGACTTGTATTGTTGAGGTTCCTTGGAAATAATTCCTACCGGAAATTAACAAACAAGCGGATACGTAACATTACTATTACTTTTTAAGGTTGTGTTTAAATCCAATGTTCTGTACATTGCAAGAGACAACATATTTACTCAGAATGACTGTTCATTCCCATTCAAACGCAGAAGAGGCTGTACCCTTGAAACACCACTTGTTCTACCCTTAAAGGACATCACTGTTGACATTCCGGTACAACGAGCACTATTACAGTAAGATCATATACAGGAAAAACAGGTATTAATTCTGAAAGAGTGTCAAAAGGAACAAAGGTGGTTGAATGAGATGAGCTTAATAGCTTTCTCGAACCTATGTTATGTGAATCCTGCACATAGCACAGAATAAAGGATAAATTCAGAATAAATACTACTATAATACAAAAAGACAGCAATGAGTGGTATATTTATATATTAGGCTAGTAGTCAAGTTAATAGAATTTTAGGGTGTAATCATGGAAAATATTGATTACAAGTCAAAAGAAGTAATTATCTCCTTATACAAATCACCAGTTATGCCTCACTTAGAATACTGTGTACAGTTTTGTCTCCTTATCTAAGAAAATATACTAACTTATTGGAAAAGGTTTAGAGGAGGGCTATTAGATGATCTTATAAGGGTGAGTTATCTTCTCTTGAGGTTTGGTTTGTTTTGAATTTCATGCAAAGCTATACGAGGGCTATCTGCACTAGCCATCCCTAATTTAGCAGTGAAAGACTAGAGGGAAGACAGCTAGTCATCCACCCATAGCCAACTCTTGAGCTACTCTTATACCAATGAATAGTGGGATTGACCATCACATTCTAATGCTTCCATGGCTGAAAGGGCGAGCATGTTTGGTGGGACAGAGATTTGAACCCACAACCCTCAGATTGCAAGTCAAGCACTCTAACCACCTGGCCATGCCAAGCTTCTTCTCTTGAGAAAACAAGGATAAGAGATGATCCAACTGAAGAAGTTCAGAAGATTATCTGGAGGATCAGAAAAATAAATATCTCTGATTTCTTTATACTATATTTTGAAAATAACAGGATTAAAGGACATAAGCTGAAGATTTAGAAAAGACAGACTAGGTTCTAATTAGGACAGTTTTATTCTTCTAACAAATGAATGGCTTATGGAATAAGGTGCCATTATAAGTAGTGGAGGCCAGTACTTTACAGAAATTTAAGGGTAGGTTTAAATTTTTTACTTTTCGAAGGGTGGGTGTGCAACAACATCCTTGAAGGACCAAATGCCTGATTATGTTATAATGACAAAAAGAAATAAAGCAAAATATGTTCCACAATGATTTTTATAAAACTTGAATACAGGGTTTGATATTTTACTAAACTTTCTTTATACACATTTTTTATAGTAATCAGACAGATTACACTCAGACTTACACAAACATCTCCATTGTGTTCTCAATCAGAAACTTTTAAATAGCTATATTCTATATAAAATATTAACGATCATGTTTTAAGGTTCATATAATGTGAATTTAAGCTTCATTAAGTGGTCAAAGTTTATCATAATAACAGAAATTCATGCCCTTGTTTTATGGAATAAGTTGTCTTTTAAAAACTTTTCGTGTGTCCTCTCACCATATTTACAAGTTTTTACAATATCACATATTTTATCCTCATCTTTAACCTATATAAATGTTATGTTTTTATCATTTTTTACACTAATTAATAAAATGGCTAATTATAGAGCATGTTCCCTTTCAGAATTCTACGTTAATTTCACTGCAAGTTATTGGTTTGTGATATTTTTCAGAAAGTAAGAGGCTGTATTAACGTATACTAAAAAAACATGTTCTTTGCAATATTTTCACCAATTTATAGAAAATATTATTCTGGATGTGAAACTAAATTTATTACATTTTTAATTTCTTGTCTACAAACTGGTGTAATAAAAATAAAAATGACTGAAAGCCAAATATTTGGGTGATATTTTTGGCTATTTGGGTGATATTTGAGGCAAAAACAACCACCTTTTTTTAAAAACTGTAGATGAGTTAGCTTTTTTTATTTGGTGAATATTTTTTTCTTGCTGTGTCACTTATAAGTGAAATTATTAAAAACAATACTTTTATATTTGCTAATTAATAATTTATTTACTGACAAAAAGACAGTACTATGAAATTCTCTTTCTCTGTACATAATTTCATGGACCTCTTCCAACATTTAGCAAAAATGCCAAGGTAAATACGTATAAGAAAGAATTTAAACATATGTTGGCTCATCACTTGAACTATACATTTAATTCAATTTATACATAACTAACTTTTCTACAATCTTTATATGTAATAGATTGAAGAGGGAGAAAACTACCTTAAAGTAACATGAATACAGAAGTTTGACAAGTTCTAGACTTTGTAGTTTCCTTACATTGTTTTCTCTATTTTTTCCATGATTCATCTTCGCTCAATACAGATGTCTTTATCTTTAGAGAATTCTAGGTAACTTTTGATGTTCAGAAATAAAGTACAAAAACTGGTACATAAGCAAAATTCACAACACCTACGGAAATGTCAAAAGATGTAAGATGGTCAACATCAATGCTGGTTCAAGTAAAAAATAAAATGTAGCAAACCAAAACCGGCAAAATAAACTAGCTATAAAAACTACGTGTATTAATTACATTTTCAAATATATATATATATATATATATTAAATAAAAATTCCCATTGATGTTGAAACTAAACTGTAGGCATATAAAAACATGTATGTCCACCATTGAATTCCCAGATTTTGGCATTGTAAGTCTGTAAACTTACTTTTGACCCACTAGGGGCCTACATATACTGACATACACATAAACACAGCATTAAACAAATATCTTAGCAAAACATAAGCAAATGAACCATTTACACCAATTGGAAAAAACTTACAAATATATTTAAAACACAGTCAAAGGAACAACTTAAAACCAGTAGGAACATTTCCATGGTCTTAGTTAATGCATTTACATTAATTCTAGATATTTTGACATTTATGTTCATCTTACTAAATATTAATGATAATTTAAATCTATATATAAATGTTTTATAAATTTCATAATATCTGAAAGAAACATCCGTAAGCACAATTTATATGCAACATTATATTCACTTTATCTGAGGAATAAATATCAGGAAGAAAGATACAGTTGAGAGTAAATAACAATGATAAATTTAACTTAAGCATGATGATTGTAGAGTGAAGTTTCCACTTATCAGCCATGGGCTACTTGCCAAACAATTAGATGACTTCTGTCCCCTTTTGATAGGCCATGATGAATTTTCTTTTCCCCTGAAGAGTTAAGCACTGCACAATTCCTGTCATCATCAGCTCCATCACCTAAGATAATTGAAATTCTGAACATTACAATTTTTTTACTCTTCCTCAAAAAGCTGTTACTTAACCCTTTGGATGCTATAAAATCGGATTTATCCGATTTGACATTTATAGCTGTTTGGTGAGACAAGTGGATGTACCCCACAGTTTCACAAAATCTCTTCTACATAGTGTGACAATTGGGATACACACGTCTTCAAGTTTCTTGCCTTAGTACCGTGTGTGCATCATACATCATAGAGGAAAAGTACAACTAGTGGATATTGACTAAATACTAAGAAAGGTCAAATTCTACATTAGTGGATAATTGATACTTCGAGAACCCACCCAAACTTTAATTACACACTCAATGAGTTAAATACACTGTTAACAAAGCACCTGACATTTGTTAAACTTCTTATACAGTTATTCAATACACTGATTTAATACGTAGATGTGCTTATCCTCAGTTTTGTATTTATGGTAAAGCTACAAAGGCTAGAATTACTGATAAGAGGGAAGGCAGCCAGTCAGCAGCACCCTACCATCCATACTATTATGAATTAAATCTGTATCCAAATCCTAAAGTTGGAATCCAGCACCCTATTAAAGTAATAAAAACATACAAATCTAAAATACCCTGAATGTTAAAATATAAATAATACGTGAAAGTTATTAAACAATCATTCAATATTCTAAATGAGTTCCTGTTCATTGCGTGTCTGATATTGTGTACGTGTTAGCTTTCAACTGTGCTTTTTTAGTTATGATTATTTTTCTAACTGCTGGATTACACCTGTTTTTAGTTAAGTTTTTCTACTTTATATGTTATTTTTATGAAGATTTTAAAAATTGCATGTTTTAAGACCGTAAAATATGAGCCAATTTAGGCAGATTTTGATGTCCAAATAACAAACGTCTAAGTTTGAAAAATACATCAATCCCAACTGATTTCCTGAAAAAAAGCATTCATTTTGTTTTGTTTGAATTGTCTCCAGTACATACAGTGAACATAAAACTTACAAAGAACAAGACAATTTTCTATAATAATTAGCACACACACAGTGAGCTTCTCTAATGTGTTTTACCATCTCTTTAGGTCTGCATTACAGACGATTTGATGTTAACCGGCTACGAGTATAGTAGTAAACCAGTATGTAACATTTACTTCTGCCGTACCTGAAGTTACTATTAAATGGCACTGCAATATAGTGAAGTAAAGAACTCTCCAAAATTATTCAGTGTTTTGCAATATTTATTTATATTTACCTTTGTTCAACTGTTACTACTTATAAACCTAGTTTACCTATTGGACAACAAAGGTCTAATAATTTACAACGATCGTGTTTTCTTTTAGAATTTAACTACAATAACATGATGAAATGTAAATGGTAATTTTCTCTTTATGTTTTTAATTTTGGAGACTTAAATTTTTTTCGAATGGAAATAATTATTAAATCTTTCAAACAAAAACAAAGTTCTATTAATTTATCTTACAATAAACTGCACATTTCAAAATAATTTAACTATGTTGATAATTCTATTAATAATTTTGCCTCTATTTATCAAAATTTCTACATTCAAGTTTTGATTAATTCAAATTTGCATAAAAACTGGTTTAGTTTTTTAATATGTTGGAGTTAACAACAGTCAGTACACTGTATAATAAAATGTTTTGTCTGATTTAAATAGGGGTGTTTAATAATATTATTTGCGGTAAGTTTATGGATATTTCAAAATAGTTTTGGCCAATGTAAGTTTGTTTAAATTAGATTTTAATAATCTCATACATTTCAACACATATTGGATTTTCTATCTAAAAACTGTTATTTTATTACTAAGACTGGTATTTCTAGTACATTTAAATTGTAATTTACAGATTTTATGGCAAAATTCTTTATCTTCAATTGACACTATTTTTTTACTACTGTTATCAATATATTTAATATGGGCTTTAAGTCTGATTGCTAATACTAATACATTGCTTGGCAACTCTGATAGGTCACCATTTGAAATAAATCTGTTTCTAATCACCCCATTTTATGGTATTTTCAACAGTAGTAGTTAATATATCAAGCATGTGTAGTGTACATAAGATTTCTCAGGTAGTTAAAGATAATGTCAGTTATAAGTTATAGATCTTCATTGCCAAGGGCAGACTTAATAAATAATGCAGGTAACAATTTATAGTAACTTCTATTACGACCATCCAGTGACAACATTGGGAAAATATCATGTTGAAGTAGAAGTTGAAGATTTATGAATTGACCATTTAGTTTATTTCTGGAGAGAGAGATAGAATTTCAAGTCACGATTTCCTAATAAGTTATGATGCTGATGTATCCATTACCAGAAGTATGCTATACATAGAAACAGAGATCTAAAGTTTTGAAAAAGTACATCTTCAGACTTATGTGTTAATTTAAAGACTAATGACCAAACAGAGTGACACAGTTGTACAGCCAGATGCCTCCACAATTAACAACTACAGCAGTAAGTCTAAAGATTAGAAGTCAGGACACAGTAATGGTGATACGTGACCCAGAGAATGTTGGAATGGTTTTGGATCCAAGTATCATAAGAACAGTAAGGTCAGTGATAGTACAGAGAAAAGCACCAAGCCTAATAGTAGAAAAATTAAAAATAAGCACAGAACCAGTAACTTGAAATAAACCAGCAAATAGAATTAAAGTGAACAGGGATAGAATAAAAGTATAATAATACTAAACAAGTGTGTAAATATAGCCCCTCAGATGACTACACCTAGAGTACAGGCAACATAACATCCCAATAAGAGAGTCTGGCTGTCAGAGCATGTACCTGTAAGACTAATTAGAGTTACAGAGAAGCCAGGTTTTGAGTAAATTTATACTATTAATATACATTACTAAAACTTGTTAAACAATTTTTGAATATCTACACTATAGATATGCTACTCGGTACTACTATTTTATGCTTTACTGTATTTGTATAATAATAAAAATCACCTTCTGTGTTCTTCTAATAAGTTCGCCAGTTCTTGCATATGTTTATCCTCTGTGTCACTAAACAGTGAATTTTATTTTATTTACACTTCTTGTTTGAACAGTTTAATATACTTTCTCTCTGTTGCTAACCCTACTTACAACTATAAGTAGCACTACCTTAATTTTATAGGCACTTTGTCTCATTAGACACACAGCATGTAAAAACCTGACTCATTAACCTTCACTGGTTCTATTGAACACTTCTTTATTTTGCTTAAAATCCTCTATTTGACCTTCAGTAATTCTTATCCACAAATAAACTACACAGTATCACTTTTTGTACTAGAATTAGGAGAAGATGCCCCAGTAACACTTTAATTTATTTATTATTATATTAACTCTTAATCATGACCAACAAGTTCTTGTTAATTTTGTTTTTGCTAGAGATGGATACAAGTCAGAAAGAATATCCTATCATATTCAAGTGCTCAAAAACAACTCTACTGATGAAAATGTTTAGCCTACAATAGCACATTTCACATATAGCTATTACTTTAATATATGTTTATGATTTATACAGTTAAAACAGACAGAAGTAATGGTTTCAAAGCTCTCAGTCCCCCCAAATGCACACATCAAACTAATAAGTAAAGCTTGAAGAAATATGTATGGTTGGTAATTCATTACTGTATTGTGAGATTTGAAGATACACATATAAATAAGTAATTTCATGCAAGACCATTAAGATAAATTAATATACATTCAAAAGGTATAATCATGCATCATATATTTGAGTCTCATTCTCACCCAGAATGTATATGAGATTACCATTTCATAATCAGAAAATTATAAATCTTATAAAATGCAAGAAGGAAAATGAATAAACTTACCAATGCGGAAGTCAATGTAACCTTCTCCTCCTGAGATGACTAGCACATATTTAGACTTTAAACTTTCAGAATCTCCTTCAGAGTTTTTTCTACTGTCTCCAGCATTACCAAGTGTGGTAGCTGTACTCATTCCACCTTGACCTATAAGATAAGATTAGAACTTCATATCATGGACAGTTCTTTCACATAGGTAAGATGAAAATAATTGTTAAAACATTTCATCAAAGGACCAATCCAGTTCTAAAGTTAGGTGATAATCATCATTCTTCACCATAAAAGTTGAAATTGTACCTATTTTCAAACTTGAATTTCCATAAAAACATTCCCTTGGCAGTTTTGTGATGTAGATTTTTGTAATCAACATAGTTGGGTAGGGACATTTTATTACAACAAAGTGACTGTTTTCTAGATAACTTACTGTACACATTAACAATACTGAAAACAAAATAACTGTTCTCTCTCTAGATAACTTATTGTACAAACCAACAATACTGAAAATAATGTGACTGTTCTCTAGATAACTTACTGTACACATTAACAATACTGAAAACAAAATGACTGTTCTCTCTAGATAACTTATTGTACAAACCAAAAATACTGAAAACAAAGTGACTGTTCTCTAGATAATTTACATTACACACCAACAATACTGAAAACAAAATGACTGTTTCCTTAAGATAACTTACT